CTCTCACGCTTGTTCGGACCGCCATTATTGGCAGCAGGACGGTGCTGGTTCTGTTGGCGTTTGTTAGCCTTGGTGTTGGGCGCCGCTTTTTTCCTGGGAGGGGCCTCCTCCCCTTCCTCCCAAGGTGGGCGCTCAGAGGAGGTGAGGAGAACCTCAGCCTTGCGCTGGAGGTGCTGGGAGACCTCCCTGGTGAGGTCGTCTGCCTCCCCTGGGTCCCACGGGGGTAGTGCCGACAGGGCCTCCTTCACCGCCTCCCCACAAGCGGTGTCAGCGGCCTCGTTGATAGCCCTTCTCCAGCCGGAGTGGGGTCCGAACTCGGCCGCGTGCTGTTGCTCATTGGTGTGCGACCGGGTCCAAGTCAGCCTGGCCAACCTCTCTTTGCCCTGGGCCTGGGCCCAGGGCCAAGGGCGGAGAGTTTTGCACTGCTGAGAGGTGACAGCCCTACAATCAGTAGTGCAGTCGGCCTCTGCCTCGAGCCGGGAGCATAGCCTGGCGACAGCAAAGCACTCTCCTTCAGCAACTGTGCTTCCGGGGGCAGGACCCCCGTCATTGCACCAACCTGGAGGGGGGCACCGTCCTGCCAGGTGAAAGCGCAGACGGCCCAAGCAATCACTCTGCCTCTGGGGTCTGTGGCATAGGGCCCCCCAGTGGCGTCGGTAGAGTAGAAGTACTCGGCCGACCAGGTGTCCCTAGTACAAACGCTGTAGGCACGTTCGGAGGGTCGTCCAAACTGGTAACCCGCCAACCTGGTGGCCGCGGCCGGCATGAGGCCCCTGGCCCAGAGGCATTCGAAGGGGTACTTGGCTTTGAGCCTTTCCCAGTGCTTGGGGGGCGGGGGCACCCGGCCCCGCCACCAACTGCACTCCATGGCCATGTGATGAGGTGTGAGGGGCTTGAGGCAGAGAGGGCAGGACCGGCCCTCCTGCACTTTGCGGCTTTTCATCGCACCCTGCCATACCGTGCGGAGAGCGGAGGTTTTAGACCTGGGTGCGTGCTTGAGGAGGAGGCAGGGCACTGTAGTGTCAATGCCCTGCGTCAGGCTGGAGCACCCGGTCTGCCTGCAGAGGGCTCCCCACCTCTTGTACTCACAGGCCTTACTGAGGCATGCTGTAACCGCGCCCTAGTGGGAACGGACCATGGGGTTGAGCGCGACCGCGTTGCCCTCGTCATCGTCGCCAGCCATGGTCGCTGGACAGAGGTTCCTGGGGAACAGCCACCTGTCAACGGAAGGGGCCTTGATCCCCAGGTCAAGGAGGTAGGCAACCATGGCCCCCAGGGGCCCACACACTACCTTCCAGCGATCCGCCCTCTGGAGCTGCTTTGTGAGCAGGGCCCATGTGCGGGAGAGCTGATCTCGATCCCGAAGGCTCACCATGACACGAGCAAGGGCCTTAAAGTGCTGGGCGACGATAGACACCAGGGGGTCCTTCACGAGGGGGCCCCCCATCTCGAGAGCGACCTCAACACTGCCCGTGTTGACGCGACCCGCGATCGAGGCCGCCTGCAACCGGACAGACCTGAGCGTCTTGGGGCTCACCCCTTGCGCCTGGTGTCCCCAGTTCCCAGAGGCAAGGACGCTCATGGAAAAAACCCGGCT